TCCGTTGTTCATTAATTCCAATTTATGTCCTATTATTGCTTTATCTTCCTTATGATGCTACCACAAAGTATTTAATTGAAAATTGCTTCAAGGAAAATAGGGATCTCTCTCAAAACCTGTCTCCATCCATCATTCTTCAAGTGTAAAATCAGTCATGAAAATAGGGTTCCCCCCCACATACCTCACTCAAGTGTAAAATCATTGATGAAAATAGGGATCTCAGTCTAAAGCTCACTATTTCTCACACTTCAAATATAATATCCGTCATAAACCTCTCTAAATCCCTCACTCTTCATGTGTAAAATAAGTCATGAAAATATGAGACTCTATGGAAACCACTCCATCTCTCCGCCTTCTATTTAAAAATACTTCAAGGAAAATAGGGGTCTCCTATCTTAAACTTTCCCCATTCCCCACTCTTCAACTGAAAAAAATCTTCATCGAAAATAGGGGTAACATTGTAAACCTCTATCCATCCGCTACTCTTAAAAGACTGACATAGGTCTGGATTGCACGTGTGCAGAAAACACGGACGCAGGTTTGATTTGCAGGTGTGTCAAAAAAGACGGACGTAGTGTTAGTTTGCAAGTGTGTCAAAAAAGACGGACGTAGTTTTAGTTTGCACGTATGTCAAAACAGACGGACATAGGTTTGGTTTGCAGGTGTGTCCAAAAAGACGGACGTAGGTTTGGTTTGTACGAGAATCAAAAACTACGAACATAGCTATGGTTTGTACAACATTTAAAAAATGGCGGGCATATGTTTGGTTTGCATTAGATCTAATAAGTTGCACATAGGTACACTAAACAAGTCACTACTTATTGGTGACATATATTATCGATCCTTACTAAGATTGGTTTAATAGGCTATAAATATAGGCGCTAATAGAAAGATTATGTTGCGCCAATCTTCCAAGTAAGGAAGAGGCTATCTGTCCAGAAAATGCGCATTCAAAATCCTGGATTTTATCTTTGTGCGCACCTGGATACCGATCTAGTAAATCTCACGCTGCTAAAAATTTATATTAGTAGAAAAGTTCGCTGAAATTATATGGAGAAACTGTTTATCCAAGAATGGTTATACAAATAAAACTTCATTAAAATGCTGAAGATGTATTTGTCGATCCAAAAAAGAAATTCTCAAGTTAATTCCAGTTCGTTACTTGTTTCTGCTCTTAGAATATCTGCACCGAATAAACCTGTCACGTCTCTTGCATGAGATACGACGAACAGGCTGCTTGTTGCCTGCAAAAAAAAAAAGAACGATGGTAGTTTAAATGCATCATGAGAAAGATTCCTTTTTCTTTTTGCGAAATTTCTATTCACTCAGCTTATTGAAACATCGTATACATATTCTGGTTTTGTTTTATAGGTTGTACTTTTGAGTGACAGAACCCCAAACAAATGCACTCATCAGCTGCTTCGAGATCTGTTTAAGAATGGTAATTGCTGTAAGAACGGACTTAGCACAGCTTTTCCTGGCGAAAAACATTGCTTCCATCGGGGAATAACTTTATGTTACAGAAATAAAGAAAGACCGATTAAAATATAGTAATATAAGAATGACACAGGTATTAGGTTTTGTCTGTTTTTTTTTAATCATTTCACCCCAAGCAAGGCAATAAAGCCACTAAGAAACAAAGGGGTTACTGAATGTGAAAGAATAAGACAAAAGCGAAACATTATTTAGAAACGAGAATAATAAAAGAAGAGGAATAAAAAAAGACAGCAGATAACGATTGCCATTGCATTTAATGTTTTGAAGATCACAGCTGATTGGAAAGCAAGAAGCCGGAAGAGAGTTCCACAAGCAAGGAGTACAAAAGAAGAAACTGATAGCATAGAACTTACGGCTGCATCTAGCCTATTCAACTGCAAAATGATCAGATCTTGTTGTCAATCTAGTACTGCGCTTAAATTCATAAAGTCTAGCTACCATAGCGGAAAGTTCAGCAAAGCAATTACCATGAAAGTATTTATACAAAAAGGCACAGTAAAGCAAATTTACGGTTATGGGGAAGCGAATGAAGTCGAGATGCCAGGTCAGGACAAATAACATTGCGGATCCTTCCATGAATTTTATCTAGAATCTCTAAATATATGGCAGGAGCATCGTGCCATATGTGGCAGCAATATTCATATCATGGACAAATGGTAAACTTATAAATATGTAAGATAGATTCTGGAGAGAAAAAGTGAACCAACTTTCCTAGCAGCAGACCTTAATTCAATATATTCTTCATGTGAGTAGAGAATGATAACTCAACATGGGGCAACAAATCACTCTCATGATGGTTAGCATCAGCCATGCGAATGGAATGTAGAAGGTAGTCTCTCAGATAATTATTTGGGATGAGTTTCGTTTTGGATGCGCTAAAATTAACAAGCATTTTTTTGCTCCAGTTAACAGCAGATTGTAGGACATTTTTGAGATCAGCTGCTAATTTGATCTTATCGAACTGATCAAACTTACTATTGAGACAAGAATAAATAGTTTTGCCATCTATTGAGAACTGATGTTATTATGGAAGGTTATTGATGAAAATTAGAAATAAAGTCTGTTCAAAGATAAAAGTCTTGGGGACACCTGCATTAATAAAAAAAATGATCTAGAAAAATGGTCGTTCAGGACAACTTTCATTTGGCGATTTCGTCAGAAATCTGAAGAAAAATTATTCCAGAAATACCATTACGTTCCAAATTGTGAAGGAAACCGGTATGTCAAACCCAGGGCTGTGTTTAAAGTAGTGGATATTTCAGTGAATGTTTAATTGTGAGACCTGTAATAGCCTATGCTTATCTAAGGCTGGTCTTATCAGCCATAGCTGGCACCACAGAAACTACAATAGAGTTTACAATTAAAATATTTAGAAAAGATTGACATGTAATATCTGTAGTAATTGATTGATTGATTTTTATGGCTTATCATCTTGTGTGTTATTTAAACTAAAAACACATTTTGTATTGTAAGAATAATTCTATTTCTTCGAGAGACTATTTCATTAACAAATTTTGGTGTAGATTGTGATATTTCTAAATACAAGTCCTACTTGGAGAGCCGTTATCCATTACACCAACTGCCCACCCAATAGCAAGTGACTATCAGAATATGATATCCACTATACTAAACGGTTGGGCACCATTAACGTACGGGACTCTAATTTAGACATAGGAGTGACCACAAATCCCCACAGTGCTGAGCAAAGAAAAAACACCATCGAACACCACTCTCAAGTGATTTAAGCATCCGTCTGACAAATTGATTTCTGTCACTTTCATCAATCCTTTCATTCTCGTTATTATTTAACCCATATCTGGAGGGAGAATGATGGATTCACACCAAGAGTATTTAGACGTAAGTGAATAGAACGGTCTCGACTGGAATTCGAACTCATGTCTCCGATTCTTCATTCTGATTCGTTATTCATTACACCGCCTGCACATCCATATTATTGCTAAGGTTTACAAATTAACAAATTGATCCATTCGTTATTTCAATAAGAGACATCCAAGTGCTAATGCGTTTAGCGGTAAACTCACATGCACTACAGTCGACTTGAAATGCTAATCTTTTGCAGGGCTCGAAAGTCCCTTAGGGAATCGTTTATGAAAAATATATCGCTGTAAAATATCACGCTAAACTACTGGACATCGTTGTTGGCAGATGACATTTCCTTCTGTGTGAAATGAGTCCTATGTTAGATCGGATGAGATGTCCGCAGCCACTGTATGGTAGGATAGGAGGGTTCAAGGGATGGAGAGCTCTGGCTTTTCTTTTTTTGGTGTGTGGGGGGGGGCTCTCTTCGTCTCTTCTATTTGTCTTCTGGTATGTTCGAAGGATGTTGTTTTTTTTTGTTTTTTTGTTTTTTTGTTTTTTTTTGGGGGGGGGATTGTGGACTGCTCTTCTCCAATTGGTTCTTCCATCTCCCAATTGACCGGATCGATTTCCGTCCACGACAAAGTGTTATTGAACTGATTCTTGAATCACCTACTGAACATATATAGTAATGAAAAGTAATTGTCACATAAATTCTAATACTAAAGTAAAACAAAGGAATTTCATAACTAAATAATGTCTGCAGTGTTTGCTGTCAATAAAAAAGAATTGCTATTGTCATTCCTGAGAGTCAATGCACATCGTCAGCGACAACAGTCATGTACAGAGACTGCGTAATAGTAATTAATAGTATAAATGAAATAGAAAATAAATTTAATTTGTAAGTTATGCTTGAAGAATTACAATAAAAAAACTAAAATATATTTTTGTAGAAAATTGTTATATGAAACTGCTTTTTGAAAACACACAAATATTTTCTACTCCGAAATTGAATAATACAGGTAAAATTATAGTCTTACACCGAACGTTTGCACACGGTAATTGTTACTACAAAGTTTATTTGCGCATAGTAAAAAGTGTTAGAAACGAGTGTGCACGCAAATGTTTTATAGTGTACAGCAGTGTTTTGGTTTTTTCTCTGGACCGCATTTTCGGAATGAAAATTTTCTCCCTTCTCACCAAAGAACCAGATTGGCTTATAAAGAATTGGAAATTCTGGAATGCTATTCTCTAGAGTAAAATCGAATCCATGCTCTGGCTGTAGGAATGGACGAGTTCCACTAGTTTAAGAGTAAGAAAATATAAACCCAAATCAACGATGAAATTTCAATACGACGCACCCCAAGAATATACTGACAGAGTTAAGAGCAAATTTAACGGAATAGAATTGATTAAGTTGTTGTTTTACGGATTATCAACCTTTTCAGGTTATTTAAAGCCAGAAAATATTTTCAGATTACAAGAATTCTTTTTCGAGATAATAATGGTTTAGTGATAAAAGTCTTACTAATTAACCCATAGCTGGAAAGAGAAGTGTTGGATTCATGCCTTTCCCAACGGTATTTCTGCGTTAGTGAATATAATGAAACTAACGCGAATTGGAACTCGGCTCTCTGATTACAGATTCCAAGACATTATACATTACATCACCCGAACATCTAAGTTTACAGCACCAATTATTCCTAAGCGGTTACCCATATAGGTACTGACCAGACTTGCCATTGCTTAACCTCGGTGATTGTACGGGAATCGGTGTTTCAAGGTGATATGACTGTAAGCTTAATGGCATAGAAGAACTCAGACATAGAAAAGAGAAGCTCTCGTGATATCAACGTACGAGATCATCATAAGGAAAAAGACAGATAAGAAATAAAGAAATGGATGACAGATGAAATTCTCGACATGATGAAAAAGAAACAGCAAGCAATAAAAAAAGAAAGGGTACAGAATATTAAACACAAACATTAGGGAAAATGCATTCAGTAAAAAAAAGAATGACTGAAGAAAACTTGTGCAGAGATAAAAAGAATGTGCATTATGTCTACCACAAGATATGCATAAAAGAATCAAATAATAGCATAAAAACTGCACCCAGGCTGCATAAAATCAAAAGAGGGAATTCTTCTAATAGAAAAAAGAAGAAATACGTCAATGATGGAAAGCACCGAAAAACTCTTGCAACAGAAGGAAACTTATAAAACGTCAAAACATGGAGGAACCTGAAATATTATAGTCTGAGGTAAGAACGGCACAGGTCCTGATGAACAGAAATGAAGCAACAGGACAAGATATGTGCAATAGAAATGTTATCAGACTTCGATGAAAGTGGAGAAAACTATAAATACTGGCAACACATAGTGCACAGACACATTCGCACATGCACTTAGATAAAAACTGCTTTACATATTATTAAATACTTTTTGCTAATAAAAAATAACGAAGAGAATTATGGAAATATTTTAAATATAACATGATATAAAAAATATTAAAAAAACAATGCCATATATGAACCAATCAATACCAGGGCAGATGCTTTATATAAAGCAATCAATACCAGGGCAGATGCTTTATATAAAGCAATCAATACCAGGGCAGATGCTTTATATAAAGCAATCAATACCAGGGCAGATGCTTTATATAAAGCAATCAATACCAGAACAGATGCTTTATATAAAGCAATCAATACCAGAACAGATGCTTTATATAAAGCAATCAATACCAGGGAAGAGAAACTGTTGACAAGATAGACCGTCTGATTTTAATATTTATTTCATCCAGTCGCTGCTCTGAGGTCTCTCCATTTTTAACAAATAACTACTAGAATAATTTTCCTACTGAAGGAACGTCAACCAGGCTACATAGATTAATAATTCATTACTCCTTATATACCTTGAAATTCTTTTTACTCATTTTGTTAATATACAACATTGTCTCTGCATTATAAATGTGCAGTTTTGAAACATCACATTTAAAATATTGCAAATACAGCGATGTGACTGTAAGCTTAATGACAGAAAAGAAATCAGACATTGAAAAGGGAAATAAAGAAATGGATGACAGATGGAATTGTCGACATGATGAAAAAGAAACAGCAAGCAATAAAAAAAAAGGAATGGGTACAGAACACAAACATTAGGGACAAATGCATTCAGGAAAAAGAGATAAAAAGAATGTGCATTATGTCTACCACAAGGTATGCATAAAAGAATCAAATAAATAACAGGATAAAAGCTGCATTCATCGACCGGATGTAGAAAATCAAAAGAGGTAAAACTCATAATAGAAAAAAGAAGAAATACGTCAATGATGGAATAAACCGAAAAACTCTTGCAACAGAAAGAAACTTATAAAACGTCAAAACATGGAGGAACCTGAAAAATTATAGTCTAAGGTAAAACAGCACAGGTCTTGATGAACAGGAATGAAGCAACAGTACAAGATGGAAATGTTATCAGACTTCGATGAAAATGGAGAAAACTATAAATACTGACAACACATAGTGCGCAGATACATTCGCACATGCACTTAGATAAAAACTGCTTCACATATTATTAAATACTTTTTGCTAATAAAAAATAATGATGAGAATTATGGAAATATTTTTACTATTAACATTTCGTTATTACAGAGAAAGTATTGTCTCAATATTATAGTGATTTTCCAAGCGCAGCTCAGATGTGGCACAAGGCCGAAAGTATGGGGCACCCAGTAAGGATTGAACTCAGTCGTAATTGTTCTAGCAAGACAAGCTTGATATCCATTACACCACCTCGAGGTACCCATATTTCAATATTATTAATGTGTGGTTTTGGAACACCACATTTAAAATATCACAGATACAGCAAGTAATATTAAAGAAAAGGAGCACAATATTAAAGGTAAACTTTAGGAACGCTCATAATAGAGAAAGAAAAGTACTTCAAAGCTGAAACAAATACATCAGAGAACTCTTCCATGACAAAAAGGGCAAACCCGAAATACACAAAACGTTGCGGTAAGAAAGTTACTACTCAAGGCGAGAAGGAACAAAACACCCTGACGAAAGGGGCTTGTAATAGAGATGCTATCAGCTTCAGACGAATTCGGGTAGACAAGAAACGGAAATAATAAATTAAATATATGACAGTGGTGACATACCGGAAGTCCTTAGCAGATCTCATTATTCATGGCGTGTGTTGTGTAAGTCAAGCGTGAACGAATGTGAACTTCATCGGACTATTAGCTTACTGAGCTACATAACGATGCTTAGCATCCGGATGTTGATGTATAGGGAACATAATAGTATTTGACCGGAAATGGGGAAACTACAGTGTGACTTCGTTAAATACATTATAACAAGAAATACGATAAGAATGTTATCAGAGAGAGAGAGAGAGAGAGAGAGCAATACAATGCAGAAGTGTGCACACATCTATGTTTTAAAGATATTAAAATAACCCAAAACATTTACTGTGAACGAAACACCCGTATACGAATAGAATATGAATTAAACACGTACGCATAAATAGGAAAGGATGTGTGTGACACAAGGACATATCTTCTCAGCGAATTTATTTAAGCTCTACAACGGGGTGATCTTAAGAAAGATTGATGTTCTGATGAGATTTATCATTGGTGGACATCAACTTAATAACACAAGATACACAGATGTACATAGTAAAGATATACATAGTAAAGGAAAACAAGAAGAGAGGACTAACTGTCAATTTTAAGAAGACAGAACGTATGGTCATTAGCTAGAGAAAAAACCTAGGATATGAGCTATATATTGGAAACACCAAAATAAAGCAAATACAGACATTTAAGAAGCGACAGAAAATGAAACAAGAACACGTAGACGCCATGGAATGAGAAAATATTCTTTCTAGAAACTGCAAAATATTAAATAAAAGAAAAATAAGAACGTTCAGATCCTCCTATAAGGCATTGAATTCTGAAGAATTTCCTTCCTGATTAAAAAGGAGTCTTGTGGCAACGGAGATGTGGTTCGACAGAAGAATATTGAGAGTTCCATGGACGGAAAACTTTCGCCACGTTTTAAGGAAAATTGAAACAAAATGGACACTTTTGCTTAGGATCATAAATATTTGAAATAACTTCGACGAATGAGGAGGAAAGAATGCTTGAAGAATTTGACACTCACAGGGCATATTGAAAGACAGAGAATAACAGCGAATAACATGCTGAAGGTGTTTGCCTGAATGGATGGCAGAACCCGACTTACTTGGAGAGATAGTAATGGATCAAAATTGCTAAGAGCTTAAAATAATAAGTTGTGGAGGACGATCGTCGCCGATGCCCTGAAGGATGCATAAAAGAAGTGTAAAAAAATACTTTTTCATTATTAGGCTTCAGATATGTAAATGGGTAAATTGAAGTAAAAATCCATTAATTGATTATATATATATATATATATATATATATATATATACATTCGAAAATAAATATGTTATAAAATCACTACAAAAATATCCATTATGCTTCAACACTTGTGGTGTCTTATCAAGTGATAGTGTTGAATGTATAATAAAGGGTTTAATTTTTGTAGTGATTTTATATTTATATTATATTGTCATTCGAATAAATAACTATATTTGCTCTACTCTGTATTGAGCACTGTTTTAAGAATAGTATTTGTTGGTTATTGGAATTTATTCCGTATACACCAATCCTATACTTGAGTTTATATATATATATATATATATATATATATATATATATATATATATATATATATATATATATATGAACATGGAAGTAATCGACGAGCAGCAACGGTCTGTTTCATGCTTAAACATAATGTTCATGGCCTGAAGCATAAAACAGACCTTTGGGAGTTGACGTTAATGTTCACTTTTATATTTGCATACACTCTATCTCTGATATTTGGCACTTTAACCCATAAATACAACATACCTTAAAACTATATTTTTGCATATATGTATGGTGATTGTCACTTTTTGACAGAAGACCATCTCCACAACAAATCTTTCTTTTTTTCATTTTTCTCTCCCTTTTTGTCTTCTTTGTTATAACTTTCAGACTCACCGATCATGACAGCGCAGATGATTTTTTAAGCCAGCCTTACTTTTACAAGCTTTTGCGAAAATGTTGCACCTGAAAGGGAGATCCCTATGCCCAACAGGCACAGCATCAGCATGAATTTTCATGCTTCTTGTTAATCCAGAACTTGACTTGCATACTTTATGGCAGAGTGTGCAAGAAAGCACAAGGATTGATTTCTGGCATTTTTCAATGGATCGAGCCTGATGAGACCTAGGGTGACTTTGAAGACCTGCCTTTGAAAGTGCAAAATTACCACATAAACTATATACATGTTGTAAGGTTACAGTGTAGTGCTTCAAGATTACCTTTACGAAGATTGCGCTTAACCTTAGCATGTTCCACCTTGTTCATTTTAAACTGGTTTCAACCCTGATATATATATATATATATATATATATATATCAAAGACATAAATGAAGTACATAAATAACAAAAAAAAACTTTCAAAATACTCGGTACTTACGTTGACGTATGACCTTAACAAGAACAAAAAAATCTTTTTTGATGTACTTATAGACAACAATAATAATAATAATACATTTACTACATTTCTATATAAAAAGACAACTAGCATAAACGCGAGCATACTTAACTATAAAAATGAATGTCCTAATTATACGAAACTTAATAAACCGCGCAAAAATCAAATTCTTCAACAAAAAGGATTTTCTATACTGAATTAAAAAAATTAAACAAATCCTTATTAATAA